CTTGGGAGTGTGATGTCGACTGATCAGCAGCTACAGGTTGAGGTGCGTATTCGCGTGTCGAAGGCAGCGGCGGCATTCGGGAAGCTTGAGTACCGAGTGTGGAACAACCATCAGCTTATCATTGGCACGAAGTTGATGGTGTACAAATCCATGGTGCTGTCCGTTCTTCTATACGGCAGTGGAACGTGGACGATGTACCGTCGGGATGTGCGATATCTCGAGCGGTTCCATCAGCAGTGTCTGCGACGGATTCTGCGCATCGGCTGGGGCGCCAGAGTTGCAGACACGGAAGTGTTGCGCCGAAGTGGGATGTATGCAGTGGACTGCATACTTTTACTGCGACACCTGAGATGGCTCGGTCATGTGTGGCGTATGGATTCGACTCGGATACCGAAACAACTCTTATGCGGTCAGCTGAGTATAGGGAGGCGGCACGTGGGAAACCAAAGTTACGTTGCCAGCGCATGATCAAAGTGAGCAGCACACGTTCTAATCTTGATTGCAGATCATGGGAATCGAAAGCGATTGATCGGCGTGTATGGCGCGATCTCATCACGAAGGCAGTTGCTGCATTGCGAGAGAAAGACCTCATGCATGCAGAGAAGAAGCGGCAAGCACCGATGGATTGTACTCCATCGACATCGAGTGCATGGTGCTGTAGCACATACGGTCGCGAGTGCCTGAGTCAGGCAGGCCTAGTGAGCCATGAGCGAGGCCACTCGGGACCAGTACCGAAGCGACGACGGGTCCTGCAGAGAACGTAGGCAGGACCGGCGCAGCGTTTGTAGGTACACTGCATTCGATTTACTAACTGCGTTTTTGCATGCTAAGTCACTTTATTTCAGATGGTGGGTTTTCAATTTTGCTCTAATGCTTTTCTTTCCCATATAAATGCCTAGTTATACTCTCTTCTATACACTTGCACACGTCGCTTAAGCCACTTGTAGTTATTTCGATAACATTTTCGTGTTTGTAGCATTTCCGTAAAATAAACCTCCTGACCTCGTGAACTTACCTCGTATTCGTTGGTGAACAACTTATTTCATATGCTCATTAATTTAAGATTTATGTCACCGTTTGCTTGCGTGCAAAGTCTGTTTGTTTCAGGTGGTGGGTTTTCAATTTTATCCCAATGCTTTGCTTTCTCATATAAATGTCTACCTGTACTCTCTTCTATAAACTTGCACACGTCACTTAAGCCAATTCTAGTCCTTTTCGATAACATTTTTGTGTTCGTGGCATTTCCGTAAAGTATACTTTCTGACCTCGTGAACTTATCTAGGATTCGTTTGTAAACAACTTATTTCATATGCTCATTAACTTAAGGTTATTGTCACCGTTTCCTTATGCATTAATCGAGTTATTTTCTTTGTCTCTCTCTCTCAAGTGATTGGCTGTTGTTTGATATCCCCGGTGTGGCTGCGCTTGATGTGCATGTTGACAAGGTGCCTACCTGTCTATTACCCGCTGCCTCGTCCATACTGGCTCCAGGAGACAGTTGGTCGTTGCTGGAGGGGACAGGGTGCACGGTCTTTGTGGCCGTGTTAGGATCAAAGAGTGGTTCCATGCACTCAGTGTGGAGCGGACTACGGTCCAGCCACCGCTTTGTGTGCGCTTGATTCCCAAATGCAGTGTGCTTGTGTTTGCTGTGAAGGAGTGTGGGCCGGCTGCGTTGATGAAACGTGGCTCCCATCCGCATACCTCCCGGTCTTATTCCTTCGGGTTTACACTGGATATGGGGTGTGTGGTTGGAGCTGTGGGCGGTGCAGCGCAAGCCATCCATGGTCCGTCTGTAGGCGCAGGCGTCCTGTGGCTTGCCACAGTGACAGGCAAATCCGAAACCGGATGCCGCCAACCATATATATATATATATATATATATATATATATATATATATATATATATATTCAAAAGTCTGTAAACAGACAAATGTGTCATCCGAACCATGGTGGTAGGTAAAGGGGAATATAATGTTCAACAAGAAGAGAGTAAAACGTTAGAAAAAAATTTTCAGTTTCACACGCCGTTTTTTGTTTTCATGTTTTGTTTAACATTAAAAAGTACAGGGTGAAGAGATGGTAGAACAGCATTGACGCCACTGACTCCTATTGCGGGCCATAGCCTCTGAGACCATTGGGAATCCGCTTCACGTGGTCCCAAGCCTGGGAGACGCACGGATCCAACTGACGCTAGACACCAAATTAGAATCCTCATACTCCTTTTCCAGGTCCGCCGCGGCTCTTTTTCCATTCGCGTCCAGGAAGTGCAAATATTGCGCGACGTGGAAGGTGGTGGGCCGGCATGCGCTGTACGTGACCGAGCCAACGCAGTTGGTGCTGGATGATTATGCTCTGGAGACCAGGACTGTCCGCTCCCATGATTCTGCTTCTAACTCCCGCGTTGCTCACATGGTGCTGCCACCATACGCGAGCAATTGAACGCAAGCAGCGGTTGTCGAAACTAGACAGTCTTCTCAAATCTTCCGATCGAACAGGCCAGGTCTCGCAGCCGTACAGTAGGACAGCACGGACTGTGGCATTGTACACTCGGTCTTTGAGCTTGAAACTGACATCGCGACGACGCCACAAGTGCCTCACGTTAGTAAATGCAAGGCGAGCTTTGGCAATTCGTTGTGAAATTTCATCGCCAATACTGCAACTAGCCGTAATGCAACTCCCGAGGTAAGTAAAGCTGTTGACAAGCCCCAGCCTGACACCCGAAATGGCGAGCGTAGGCACAGGAGCCTGCCAATCCTGGAGCAAAGCTTTGCACTTGGATGGAGCAAAATACAGACCGTAGTTAGGTACCTCGATGGCTAAGCGGTTCAGAATGTTTTGAACAACCTGCGGGTCGTCCCCCAGCAAAGCGATGTCATCAGCATAGTCCAGGTCCACGACTCTGCTCCCGGGTAGAAGCTCTACGCCGCAGCTCTGGGCTTCTTCCATTGCGCGATGTGGACACCTTCCATGGCAAAGTTGAACAAGAACGACGAGATAGGACAACCTTGGCGCACTCCACTAGTAAGGGGAAACATACCATTAGCAAAGGGTACAGTCTGAATACGCCCGTTTCACCAACCAAGCTTCTGTTAAACCGATGGAAGTGCTGTGGCTTCTCCCATGTCACAACAACATCCACACGACCAGTTGTTATCGCTCAGGTCTGTCAGAGATCACAAATAGTTAATCAGTCAGGTTGATCTCCAGTTACTAATATCCGGAACGCACTTGAAGTCCAGTATGCACAGGATGTATTACCTCTTGGTAGCACCGCAGGTCTGTGGCCGAAAGAACAAGGCATCTGCCTTGCAATCCGGAGGTCGCAGCTTCGAACATGCGTAGGCGACCGGGTGGCGCTCGCAGTATCCTTAGCTCACGCGCGACTGTTACTGGTTGCGTGGCAGCGAAGCGACTGTACGGCGTGCTGCTGATGACTTGGTGGCATCAATAATATCATTCTGACGATGGCGAACGTATGCTCTCACTTGCCTTCGCATGCGCTGGCCTGATAGCTTCAACTTTGGTTAGCTGTTTGAGCTGGTGATTCACAGTCTTCAACACATTGCTGTACGTTCTTTCTGATCGGAGTGAACGTATCATTGAAGATGCAACACTCAAGGAGAATGGCATCGCAGTTGGCCATAGGCCCAAAAAGTTGTGGGCGGGTGGGACGGATCGTCGGCACCCTCAGAAAATCCTCTAACTTTGCACTTAGATTTAGTGGCCTTGCGATAATTCCACTGGAAGTCGAATCACCGGGGCTAGCCAAAGAATTGTCAGGTGAATTGATGCTGAGTCCATGTGTACTCGCACATACTAGCCCAGCTTCGGCACACACACAATGTGCATGGCATGCCCAGTTCACTCAGCCACTTGGACTCCGATGCGTTCATGCATCCGGCTAGCAAAACGGGCATCTGAGACCATGTTCACTGTACTTTCAGTGATGTGCAAAATGTTGGATTTCCAGCTTCTTCACCGCTCGCTTCAGTATCTACTTTCCGGACGCTGATCGTGACACCAACATTGTCATTGTAAGTGCACTAAGTCTAATCTGTATAACATACGCCCGACGGAACAAAAGCACCGGGCACGTGTAGAAAAGCGACCACCTACAACCCGGACTCAGGATATCGGTTCTGATATCAACTGATCGATACATAGTTCTCCAATCGCGGATCAATTATATGCTGTAGTAATCATGCACGATTGGCAAGAGAAGACTGAATTGGTGGTGACCTGTGCACATTAACATTTTGTTAGTCCTTGCCTCTGTATTTCAACAGAGGCCTATTTTCAAGAGAGACTTTTATAACCGAAATTGAACTTCGTCTCCGATTCGGTCGGCCTCATCGGAGTCTGCCTTGTCGCGTCGTTATACGAGAGGATCTTGCTTGGAATCACTAGGGGATAAAATTGAGCCGATATACTGCAGTCTCTGATGTGCCCATATTCGTCTTATTGGTGAAAGATGAGATGCCGTCTTATTGTGGAATTTGGTACCTTTCGGATAGCGTCAAGTCGCCACGCACAGCGATAGGCTCTCAACTGTTTCATATTTACCTTTCAATCCTTTGTAAACACCAGTGAAAAACACAAGTGTAGTGAAGAATTGTTCATGCATCCCTTGGTTCACATTTAGTGAGTTGGGGAGGATAACAGCAGTTTTCCTGATAATCCTCCTTTCACACACGCTTTCTGTATTGCATCTCTATCGCTTACCACACACAGTCTATTCATCGCGGATCCACTCGTTCATTTTTTATGCTGCTGCTTCGTCTGCTTCTATAGCCTCGCGCAGGCAAACATTTAGGGCTGATAATCACTTTAGTTCGTTCACTGAATAAGTACTAATGAAATCCACACTTTGTTTGCATCATACATAACAGTTGTTTAATCATCTTTAATACAAACCCGCGCTTTTACCATCATTTTACTCGCTATTGCTATTATTCTGGACACCATACACTCAACCGTCTCTTTTCTTAATTCACATTACTAGCTATACGTTAATGCCTAGCGGAAGGATTTCCACCAGAGGTAAGCCCCTCGTGTGTCTAGGTAAACCATCCCTAACTCCAGCTTCTCGGGTATCGGAAAAGGAGAATGTCCTCTGTAAGTCTCTTTATATCTAACCACGTTTCAGCCACTAGCGACAACAGGCCTCATAAACTTGCAAGACCCCGACAAACTTGGACTGCACCAAATACCGCCTCAAACCCTTCCACAAGAACACCACATCGTGCTAGCAAAGATCTAGCACTTGCTCGTCTGCTTGCCCCATCAGATTTAGATTCATCTTATGAACGTGAAAAAACTCCACCGGTGAATAAACGCTGCTTCACTGCGCCACGTCCATCCCAGCGAACTCCTCGCATGACAATAGACTTGCATAGTCCACGTAATTATGTCTGTTCTACCAGCAGTTAAACTTATTCCAGTTCGTCGCCTTCGATCCCTATCCATTCATACGAGTGCAGACACTCCCTTAAACAAGCGTGCCACTGTACTCACTGAATCAGGTGAGTCGGGAGTTAGGTTCATTGCTTTATATGCCATTTTTCATTTCCGTCTCAGACGCAAACTTACGCATCTGTGTCTTAGTTGGATTACAGATCTTTGGTCTCACTTAGAGTGGTGCATTCATTTCATTAACTGTGTGCCAATGCACTCAGTTTCTTTGACTTGCATTGTATTCCATCTTCCTGGCCTGATTAAGGTCATCCACCTTGGTGTATGTTGTTGGGAGTTCCTGCCAATAGTATCCTTTCGAGCTCGTTTCCATGCCTGCAGCCTCGACAGAAGCTTGCACCAACACAGTTTGAAGCCTAATGACTATGCGCCAGCGAATGAGAGCGCCTTTTCGCTAAAGTCAACCAGTCACAACACTTGTAGTTTGGAACCATCCAACGAGAGCTTCCGGTAGCACAGAACTTTCCTGTTGAACTGTGTTGTCTCCGCTGATAATACAACGTATTGATGCAGTTGTTTGTATCACGGTTCTGTCACTTTCCAAATCATAGAAGAAATTTGTAAACACGACCTTCTCTGGAGCCAGAAAATGCTGCGTTGTTCACAGTCAAAATAGAAATACCGTAGAGAAAATTTCCGTGCTGCTAGAAGCTACCAACTACCGATAAATGATTTTGTTGACTGGACTCGAAACTAAATTACTATCATTGGTTTACTGTAACCGAGAGGCGCTCTCTTTGGCTGCCTCCTGACCAGTGCGCTTCGAGCTGTGTTTGTCCGAGCTACTGAGGATGCTGGCAAAGAACCAGGCTTGAACGACTTCCATAAATGGGCTACATTAACATGTATACCGCGGGCTCTTTTGACTGTTAAAAACGCTATATCTCCAACCAAAATCTCACTCTCTCTCTCCCTCTAATCACGATCTCACTACAGCCTTATATACTTTTGCACAGTAACTTTTTTGCTGCTTCTTAGCCGGCTGTTAGCTTACCGGAACGATACCCATCCGTTACCGGTAACTCAGCTGGCTTGCATCTATCGCCTCTTTCCCTTTTTTCTTTTATGTATTGTGACACAGTAGTTAAGGTGCTTCCCACCTCTGACTAACGTGTATAACGATGATGCTGGTATATCTTATGAGGCTAAATCAAAGACCCTTACTTTCTTTTTTCGGACGTGGTTGTGTCATGTTTGCTATCTGTCTTGGCGGAAATACAGCAATTACGCTCCTTAGCGCTGAACGGTCGTTCATCTTCAACCATCACCTTGAGGCTGGGTAAGAGTGAACACGGTCGTACCTACACTGTGGCCGGTCAACCGTTGCATCACGCACCTTTCGTGAAAGACCTCGGTGTACTCTCACCCTGCGACCTAAACTCCGTGGACAACATGAATAAGCTCTACCAAAACGGACCTTTGTCCGAAGAGATTGCCACTCGCCTCTTCGTCTTAATACTACGACCAATGCTAGAGTACGGTTCACACGCATACTCTCCTATTACCCGGACGGGTACACCATGTAGCCACCAGGCTGATCCCCACTTTACTGGGTACGCCGTGCGAAGACCGCCGCAGGAGACTAGGACTTTACACCCTGTCTTATCGTCGTTTGCGGATTTACCTCATCATTACGAACCGGATATTACATCTTAATGATTTCCTCATGTTGAAGCCGCTGCTTCATCTGCGCACACCAAGCAGCACACGAGGACACCGGTACAAGCTTGTCGTACCGCATTTGAAGGTGGTCGTTCATCAACTCTGTTTCGAACGGAGAGTGGTGAATGTATGGAACAACATGCCGAAACACGTAGTTGAGGCAAATTCGGTGTCGGAATTCAACAAATCCACGGACAAACGCTTTGTCGACACAAAATATATCGAGCGCACTCCAACATAACAGCTCTTTGTAGCTGAGGGATATTAGGTGAGGCTACACTGAGATATCTCTTTGTTGTTTCCAACCAGTATTCAGTTTTCTAACCTCATTATGGTTTATATTTCGCCCCATCCAAGTGTAAAACCCTGCTCCAAGATTGGCAAGTACCGATACCAACACTCACAATTGCAGGTGATTCGTTTCATTTATCTCCGAAGATGTATCACGGTGGGTGGCAGTGTTGGGGATGAATTGTTTCAACAAATCGCTAAATCCTGCCTGGCGTTCTCTAACCTGAGGCATTTGTGGCGTCGCTGCGACATCAACCTAAGGTTCAAAAGCAAAGTGTACAGTGCCACTATCCGTGCGGTCCTGCTGTACGGCTGCTAGACCTGGACTGTTCGTGCCGAAGTGCTGAAACGACTAGCATCTCCGGACAATCACTGCTTGCGGACGACCGCTCGTGTATGGTGGCAACACCACGTAAGCAAGTCGGAAAAGCTGAGTACTCGGAGCGAACAATCCCAGTCTCCAGGGTATTATTCTCGAACACCGTTTACGCTGGTTTGGTCACGTTTTGCGCATGTCAACCAATCGACTTCCTCGCCGAGCATTATTTGCACTTCCTGGGCATAAGTGGAGAAAATACCGGGGTGGACAACCGATGCCGTTGAAGAGAAACATCACGAATGTCACCGCATGTTTGGCTTCATCAGGATCTGTCCGTCTTCCGGGTTGAGGACCACGTGATGGGGACTCCAAATTGCTGGACGTTTAGGGGGCTATGACTCGTAACAGAAATCAATGGTATCAGTGCTGCTCTAATATTATTTCATCCAACTTACAATTTTAAACAAACAAACAAACACTCAGAGGTAATTTATCACAGACCGCTCTCAGTCAGCTGGTGTTGGCACGTCTGGAAAAGCACCACACAGTACTGTTTCGACCTTTTGGGTCTCGTCAGTAGTGCGCCTTCCTCGGACCCCTGCCGGGTTCTTACCCCATGACTTCCGGACGCCAGCAGCTAGTGCCACTTAGCCATGGGTGACGGGCGCGGACCTGCATGATTGACAGTTGGCTATGATATAGCCAACGCCTGAAGTGGCGTTCTTCAGGCTTGTCCAGTTTCCCCATTTTTGTTTATCTTCGTTGTGGACTCTATCCTAGTGTTACCTCACGGCGCTTTACAATGCAGGCGGTGAGGTGTTTTCTGGTGAAAAGCAAGTTAGTCTTAGCTATGCACACGATATTGCCTTGCCATTTAACGATGTTGGGGCGGCCAAATCAAACCTGAATAACCTCTCTAGAGTGGTCCCACCATTTGTCACACACTTCGCACCTTCAAAGTGCAAAGTGTTGTTGCAGGACCATCAGCCACAGGATGACCCTTTTACCCTTTCTAGCGAAGAACTCGAGGTAGTTGATCAACTCACTTACCTAGGCAGCTGCAATCAACAACGATAGGCACATAGCAACGAAGTCAGTCCACGTATTTCAGTTGCTATAACTGCCTTCTTGCATCTGCGACATCTGTTGCGTGAAAAAGGGTTTCCCTCGGCCTTTCAGGCCGTGTTTGCGTGGTCGTAGTGAGAGCCGTCCTGCTTTATGGGAGTGAGACTTGCCTCTTCGATCTGAAGACCTGCAGAACCATTTAGGCATTGACCATCGTTGTCTGCGGAGCATTGCTGGTGTCGGCTGACACCAGCTTGTCCGCAACGGTTATGTGCGTAGGTCAGTGTTAGGCAGTGATAATCATGCTAGTTCCTTAAAACGACAGCTAGCACTGAATAAGTTGCGTTGTCTTGGGCATGCACTATGTATGCCTGGTCACCGCTTACCGAATAGAGCTTTGTTTAGTCTGCCCGATGTAGGGTGGCACAAGCCTCGAGGTGGACCAAATTTGAAAGTCACTGACGACCAAACTGGCTGCCGTCGGTCTGTCTCGCCTTTCAAGCTAGTGTCCACGTGACTCGCCTTATGCTTGTCTCGAGACGTTACATGGCTCGCAGTCGGCACCATTGGCGTGTCTGCTGTCGTTTCGTAGTTGGACTGTCTGTTTATAGTGCGTTAGATGTTGAATGATTTGCGGGGTAATGGCTGATTATAACGCGTGGCTGTGAAAGCCGCAAAGAAGCTGTCTCGCTGATACCACCTTATTTTTACACGATGGCTAGCTGTTTGTGATGGCATGTTGTTGACGCATGGTGTAGGCGCTTTGACCCTGAAGGTTTGTTTGGGGCTTTAAGGTTTTACGTTAGGTCCCCCTCTCTGTTATTATTCTTCGTTCCGGAGGTCACCATAGTTGTATGGCAGCGAAGCATCAGTTCATATGGCTCATGTACTGCTGTTGATGATGATGACTTATGTCCCAAGTCTCTTTCTTCGCATTTCGTTGGCGTTCATTCTCATTTTCTTACCGTTGTTATTTATTGTGATTATTCGACGTGGGTCGTTGCAGCTGGATCTACCGCACTTCGTTGCCTGGATCATAGTTGTTCGGGTGAACTGAAGTGAACAATTCCCAGATGCGATTGATACCTCTACGTGAATAAGTACATCAATCCACTACTCCGGGTTTTCGTTCATTTTGAGAATTATCATTCTATCAGATCAGTCGACTCAGTAGTTCCCGCAAATTGGAATCAATGTATAAATGCTTGATCACCGCTTCATTTTAATATGAAAGCGGATGTATAAACTTCATCTTCGACCTCCATTAACAGCGTCAAATACGCTGATTGTCTACAACCGTAGTGTTCCTCGACTTGGGTTTTTTTATTCAGTCTATCGTACTTACAGTTGCCGGCCCACTTGGCCTAAAGGATCACAAGCATGGCTTATAATCCGAGGCCGCAGGTTCGAGTCTGCATACGGGACCGGGCGACTCTCTCAGTATACTTAACCCACGCGCGACTGTTGGTGGTTGAATGACAACGAATAGTCGGTACTGCGTACGGAGGACAGCTGATACCCATATTTTCCGATACCTGCACTTGGCGCTGTCACTTAAATCAATGCCGCCGACTACAACCTGTGCGTTGTTAGCACGTGTAATTGTGTCGCTTGACACTGGCCGTCTAACAACCTCAGTACAGGGGACGCGCACCAGTTCAACTTTGTCAACCGCTTTGATCATGCGTTTACTCCTCCAGTGATAGTGAAGCA